CCCTCTCTCTCTCTCTCTCAGACGCGGATGAATCTTCCGCGATAATGCGGAAGATTCATCCGCGATTGAGAGAGAGAGAGAGAGAGAGAGAGAGAGAGAGAATGGGCCTCGATGCACTACTCTCCAAAAGTGCAAAATGAGAACGAGTCTTCTGCAAGAACATGGAAAGATTTATGCATGTGAAGAGTCGTGCAGGGACTCGCAATGTGAATGTTGTCTCTCTCTCTCTCTTTCTCTCTCTCTCTTTCTCTCTCTCTCTCTCTCTCTCTCACACACACACACACACACACAAACTTGGATGAATCTTCCGCGTTATCGCCCCACGTTTGTGTGTGTGTGTGTGTGTGTGTGTGTGTGTGTGTGTGAGAGAGAGAGAGAGAGAGAGGGAGGGCGTCAGGGAGCATCTGACGCAGCAAACTCGGCGTCAGGCACTCCCTGACGTCCTCTCTCTCTCTCTCTCTCTCTCTCTCTCTCTCTCTCTCTCTCTCTCTCTTTCTTCCCCCGTTTTCCCCCGCCTCGCCCGTTTTTTTGTATTTCTTTGTTTGTTCTCGTTTCGTTTTTTTTTTTTTTTTTTTTTTTTTTTTTTTCGTTTTTGATTCCGAGTTTTGGGCGGTACCCGTCGTTGCAAGGTGGGTGCCCCTCCCGACGCGGCGCGTATACGGGAAGCGCCGCGTCCGATAGCTGGGCGAGGTACTGGTGGTTTAACAACATATCGAGGATTAAAGCCAACCGCCACCAGAAAATTAGATGAAATTACTTTTGAACGCAAAATTGAACCACCAGAAATCAATATGGGTTTCTCCTCCTTTTCTGACAGCCACTGGGCCCCTCAAGATATCCCTGTGGCTTCAGGAGTGGCAGGACAAACAAATCAGCAGACATGAATCATGGTTCAAATTCAAAAGGATAGACAATATCTTACCCAAGGATACCTCAAGCTAAGAGACAGCAAGGACAGATCCCCCTCTATGATTGTACTCCTCCTACATCCCTTCCCTTTGATAATACTTGCTCTCCAGCACAGCACATACCTCTCACACTATCTGGGAATATGTCCGTACTTTCGATGAGAAAATGACTAACTTCAGAAAAAGACCCTGATGGGCCCATTGTCCCTCTGGAATGGGAAGACCTCCTGTGGGGGTCTACCCAAAGAATTCTATCTGATCAAGAAAAAGAAACTTTAGATTCTTTAGAACAACTACTTTCCCGTACTGAACTTTTACCGCGCACAATGAATAACATGGCCAAGGGCAAGTGCCCGGGCCTAGACGGACGTCCAGTAAAAAATTACACAGCCTGTTTTGGGATTTATTCCTACCGGCCCTGCCGCGGGTCTTCAACAACGTGCTAAAAGGAAATTCACTACCATCTTCACTCGAATAGAACGCCCGGTCATTATCGCTGCATCTGGACTGAGAAATGCCCCAAATACAACTATAATGACCAGGCATTATATTCGGGTGAAGACGGTAGGCTCCAGAACTACAGGAGGAGTTGTGACTTTACTGTATAAATAAAAAAGACAACAGGCGCGATGTTAGAAATCACCGTCCCATGGAAGCCGGGAGAATGGGGACTTATGATACAAGAAACTACCCCCTCTAGAGCCTTCCGGTTTTCCCATATGCAACAAGGCTCACCCACCGAGGCCACCTTCCTCTCCTTCCCGATCTCGACGACTACCTCCAGAATGCCAGCCATCCTCAACAGCGAAGTAGAATTGATAGTTGTGGACTTCTTCCTACTCAGGAAGGTTACAGTCCTTGGCTCTTAGCCAAAATCGATTTTCAGACCTGACACGGCAGTCCACAGCTTAGAGTTTGATCCAGCAGAATGGGCATGGACACCGGACAAAACAAAGAACATAAAGTCCAAGATTCCAATTAACAAGTACACAGTCAAGCTAGGGTACAGGCTGTCATTTAAAACCAAAGACCCTGATCCCGTCATCAGGAAGAGATGGCAGACTCTACTAGGCCAGGAAGCAGACAATCTCACACAAATTCAATGGAAGAAGTACAAATCAATTAGGCCAATTAAGATCAGAAGCCTGCAATGGCTGATAACCTATGCGGCACTGCTGTTAACCAATGGTTACACGCCAGATGAAAGGCTTCAGACCCTAACAGCTCAGATCAGTGTCTGGTTTGTGCGGAGAACGCGGTAGAGGACATAGTACACTGCTTGCTGCACTGTAGGGAGGCAACAGATTACTGGGCGAGAGCCTCGACCCTCTGGGATTCCCTTTTCCCGACCCCCTTCCCCGAACAACCCATTCAACTTCTCCTTCTAACTAACATCCCTGAGCAGCTCCGGAAAGTGGAAAAGATTTTGTTCGGTGTCATCAGGAAGGTGACCCTATGGGTCATATGGAAGAGTGTCCAACCCACGAGAGATGATCTGGGCGGAGACGAAAACTTTGATACAAGCTGAAATCCTTTGCAGATGGAGGAAAATCAAACTAGCATGGTCGGAGGATGAGGAACAACAAAATATGGCGAGACTGAGATTCAGCAAGGTATGGTTGATAAGCGGGAAAGTTGCTGAGTTACGAGACGACCGCATCTGCTGGAAGGACTGGCACAACTCAAATTCAGGAAGAAGCGTTCGGCTGCAATAATGCGATACATGGGCAAGGCACCTCCCGATCAGGTTCCTAAAGAGAAAGCTACGAACTTATACTACCACATCTATGGAAGAACAGACTGGAGGCGACTGTACGGCATTGGAAAAGGGGAGCGACTCGGAGGAAGGGAAAGTTGACCAAAGGGATGTTGGAAGTAAGGGTGCAAGGTATACAGGCTCCCAAATCACTCAAAGAGAACAGATTCCTAACTTCCAGCCCAGAAAGGGACAGTAAGGTCCACAGGTTGAGGGTTTAGGGTTTAGGGTCAAGGGTTTTAGTAGCGTTTAGAAGAAAGGGGCAGGCTTAACGGGGCAGGCTTAACGGGAGTGGGGAATACACAAGTATGCAGAAATGATGGGCGAGCTCTTTCTAGAAGACACATTTGGCAGAACTGATTTTCAGGTCTGAGAGGGAAGAGTGAGACACGACAAGCTAACAGTCAATCCTCCTCCTAACGGTGGAGCAATCAATGCTGTTCAGGGGTCCTTCGGCCGTACGGAAGGAAGCGTGCGTTTCTGCTGCAATGTAATGTGTATTCTGACTTGCCGGTGGAATAGGAACCGGACTGACGCTCCCCAGAATAGAAGGAGCCAGGACCATAAGGCCCTGTTTTTTTTGTTTTTTTTTTTTTCAATCAC